AAAAAAAAAAAAAGTTAAAAGATACCAATCATTTAGATCAAAGCAATAGAGGATGCTTTTGTTTTGTCATCAGTTTAACGGTGTCAAACCACTAAAACTCTTCAACCAGTGAATCATTTAATTAGCTTAATGTGTACGCACTTGGACTGTTAACTTTTCCTCTAGGTTTCCTTTCGATGAGTTATAGGCATATTTTTACACACTGATCAAAATTGTAGATACCTGTTTTGATGTGATTAATAATCTGAATGAAATTTGACAGTAAATTGTTTAGATTCATTTTTCCTCGAGTCGCAAAATAAAAATGTGCTTTTTACACATGTGTTGCTCGACTCCGTGTCAAATTGGAAACTTTTTCCACTTCGTGTCCCAGAGTTTTTTAAATTTTCGCCAGTTGTTAAAATCTGCCTCTGAATTTAAAAAGCTGAAAAGAATGCCCGAAGAAATCAATTCGTTTCCTACGTTAAAAAGACTGCCGTGTTTTATCTAAGTACAACTGGATTTGAAAACTTGTAATTTTATACAGAATTAATAGGAACTAAAGGTTTTTCGATCTTTTAATACACTGTTCCTCGTACTTCTAAATAATTGTTTAATTACATAATTTCATACAAGGGATGAAAAAGTACATAATAAACGAGTACGTGAGTATTTGCAATTTTTAGAGAAAGCTATTATGCAAAACTTTGTGCTTTATAGCACATAGATCGCAACTTCAATGTTTGATGGAGTCAAAGATTATCAAATACAAAGTACTGCAGAGAGGTAAATTCTGCGCTGGCCAAAGGATCTATAAGCGCTGAAAAAGATAGGAAGATGTTGGACAAATACAGTAACTCCGCTTTAGCAGCCTTGGGAAGATGGACTAACAGTAGTACGATAAAGAAACGATACACTTGCAGTTCCTGGCATCCTCAGCTGCTCCCTGTCCAATAATTTGTGGCCTGACAAAACGTCTAAACTAATCTTCAATATGCAATAGACGTGCATCCAAATAAATTACAGTGATCTAAATTTAATTCCTTTTGCCGTCTTGCAGCGATTCATTTCGTTGTGCTCGACCTTGGTACGGTGGCAGCTCTTCTCATTGTTAGGTTCTAACAACTTTTGAAATTGGCGAACGGAATCTTCCCGCAACTTTCATCCATCCGCTAAGTCTCGCAACGACAAACGTCCCAACTAAAAATAAGATATTTCTAAAAACTCAAGAAGAGGAAGTCAGCCTCAGGTCAGTTTTGAAATATCTGCCCTAAAATGGCCACCAATAACGGAAAGAAAAAGAGATAAATTAAAATACAATAAAAAGGATGAATGAAGAAAGATTAAGAAAGAGGATCAAAAATTGATACAGAGCCTCCGCATCAACTGGAGAATTCAAATGAAATAAATAAATTAAAAAAAATAAATTATGAGAAAGAATAAGCGAAACCAAATATAAAATAATAAAACGAATAAACTTTTCTTTTTGAATGAAATGAGAAGTTTGACAGCTTCACACAGCATCTTTTCCGGCTCGTCACCTTACTGGGTTCCTCTTTTCGGAATCTGGCTGCTCATCTTCTTAACAGCGAAAAATTGTTGGTGATTCGTCCGCAGATTTTAACTTTGTTCAGATATCTCACGAAAGTAATCAGAAACCGACAGTTTCTACCATCAACCCCCTGATGCTAATGAAAAGTCGGTTTAAAAAAAAAAAAACTGAGTTCTGGAAATTTAAACTATGGCCACCAGTTACAAGGTACTCTCTGCACTCTTTCTTAGGACGGTCAAAACCCAGCTCACGTCTTTTAACAGACAGTAAACATTCCAACGCTTGACAAACTCTACCCTGCTTTGACAAGAAAATCTGACATTAAAACGTGCAACGTTGCTGTCAACAATATGAAGCCTTGAGTCAGTAATTCCTGTAACAATTTTTTCGACATCTGCAACTGGAGACTCTCAAACATATCAACCTCGCACTAGAGTTCAAAATAACATGAGTTCTTGCTCTCGTACCTTGTGAAAAATTTTTCGCCCTCTTTCAGTCTTAGAAGCTCAGAGCATTGTTCCACAGAAATGTTGTACCAGTTAAACGCCCTGCCTGACAGCGTTATTCTGATGAGTCCCGCAACCACCGATCCTGCTCCAACCCGATGCCACACACACAGCTTGCTTCTGTCTAATAACTTTAAAAAGACACTAATCAAAGCTAACCCCTCGTAAGTTAATTCTTCACCTTGTCAGTAGTCAATTAGCAACTACGCCTTGGTGATACATGAGTACTTTGCTGTTATTGCTATTTTCGAGCTCTACTGCCTAAGACTATCTTCTTCACTCAAAGCAAGCAGGAACAAGAGATAAAATACACAAACTCCGGCCCAGGCTACCTTCCATTTGCCATATCCACTATTTTTTTGCTTTGTCTCTTCGTCAGGTCAAAAATTCCACCTCCTAAAGCTGCATGGAAATCACAAGTAATGTTAATTTTGGCTTTTAACTTCCACATTCGCCTTAGCAGGCAGATTTCGACATTTGCAATATATAACTGAAATTGGAAGAAACTAAAAAAATCAAGCAGAAGTGAATTTCTTAAAGAACTGCACGTTTTGGGAGAGAAAAAACGGAAGTGTGGTAAGGAATCCAGAAAAAAAAAACAGAGTAAACATTCTCTGCTTCTCGCTACCAGACTTTTCCAGCTGTCTTCAGATAAAAAACTGACTTCACTCCTCTCATGCATGGGAGTAAATGCTTCTTCCGTTTGTTTTATACTTCGCTCCAAATTTTACACACTCCAGCAGCGACTCACAGCTTCAGGAGCTGCAATAAGTCTTAAAGGAAGTGTTATTAAGACTGTCTCCGTCTTAACAACTTTTCAAAACCTGCCTTTAATAACGACGCTTTCCCTCGTACGATAAATTTGGGAAAGTCCAAGACGCCTGAATTCAGTAAAATAGTATTGAAAAATAGTTTCATAATCTTCTTGACATTTAAAAGCAAAAAAATTTTAATGAATAAATGAAAAGACGAATTCGACCAGGTTTTCTACGAACCTTACTTTTCCGTACTTTCTGCTCGCGAAAAAATTCCAATCAGGGTTTTCCATAATTTCTCTGATCTTCAAAAAAGGCTAAAGAGAACCGCAGTAATGCAAGTTTCTCAAAGCCTTGACAGTGCAAGTTTCGCTTCACCTCCGAACTACGTAGATCGATGGATGGCCTCTGCACGTTCATGTAAATTACAGTAAACATGGAAAAGCGAATGGTCACTGATACGAGGCGGAAAGGAGAAAAGCATATTTGCTTCTTATGAAAAGCATTTTTTCCATCAATAAATTTTCGGGATACTTAATGCGCGTAGTTCTCGGGCATGTCGTAATGTGCTTTCACAACCTTGCAAGCATTACCCGATTTCAGCTAAGTAATTCGACTTTAACTGACCATCAGAAAGCGTTGTGAAGCAAACAGCTAACAATTATAAAAACTTGTTTTGGAAGGGATGAAAAAATTTTGGCAAAACTTCTTTTTTCACCAAACGAATAAAAATAAATCAGAAGGGTAAGAGAAGAATTTTAACTACGGAGCACAGAAACCCACGCTACTTTAAAAGCAAATTTTAGATTCCATGAAAAGTTATAATTAAAAAACATGTTCTGCACCGTCCTACACCGGATTATTCCAAAAGAAGTTTCATACGAGGTCAACCAAAGTAGGAAACTACATTTCTCTTCAACTTATAAAATTTTTCTCTGCCACTCTTTGACAACAATTTTTTTTTTTTGTGTTGAATGAGATTACGCCCATTTTATTGCTTCTGAATCCGCACTGCGAGTATATCTTCCTATGAGAGTGGTTATAACGGTATCTGGCACCTTCTGGGCAACGAATTAAAGAAACAGCGCTGTAAACCTAGGAAAAAACAAATTGCTGCTGGCTTAATGCCAACTGGCTTGACATCAAATTCTTGAAGCAGCAGTGCCTCTAAACGTCTTTTGAGCATTTCTCCGCCATTTGCCGCTCTCCCAAGCAAAATAGGTTTTTTATTCGTGGTCTTAAGTTCGTCGGTTTTCAGTGATGCAGTTTCAGTAGCATTCTTCTGACTAGGTAAGTTGTTGGGTAGGTTTTTTAATATATTGGGAATCTTTTGGTATTTTTTAAATTTGAACATTTGCAATAGTTGCTTAGTGGACAAAAAAAACTGGTGCTGTAAAGTCTCTCGGAAGAGCGTCCTTCACTGATCACAGTATTTATCTATATTTGAGAGGTGTAAATGTAACTGAGCGAACCTGTACCTCAGGCGTTCCACTGGAATTTCGAGACGATGGATGGCTTCAGAACAGAAGCTGTAGGCGCTTAAGGCATGAATAAATCTGAAAAACTGTAAAACAGTGCCTTAAATTATACTGCCGTTTGGTTTACGTTTACACGGCTAGACTGGGACATTATTT